AAGAAGGGCTGGGAGGGAGTGGGCTGGGAGCAGAAGAGTCTCCTGGAGCTGTAGAGCAGTTAGCCAGGCGCTCAGCTCAAAGAAGAGAGGGCGCTCAGGCAGGCGCTCGGTGCAAAGGCCCTGCGGTGGGAAGGCGTTACGGAAGGGGTAGTGAGGAGGTTGGCGAAGGGAGAGATAACGCCAAAAACGGACCTTGTTGGGCCCTGGGCGGGGGGAGATAGACGGGGAATTGGATTCTGAGAGGGAAGGGAAAGCCGGCTAGGCAAGTAAATAGGCCTGGATCCTATTCACGTTGTAAGGTCGCCCTCTGGCGGCCGCATGGAGAACGGGCAGAGAGATGGGAGGAGTCCACCCTCAGGTTTATTCCGGCACTCACAGCCAGGCCGGTCTTGGTCAGACGAGCGGCCTCCTGTGTTCCTGTCTCAGTGTCCCCTTCGGTGAAATGGGGACAAGATAGCCCAGACCTTCTGAGAGCGCCCCCTACGTGGACATCGTCCTCAGCGCTTTGCGCCGATGTGCTCACAGGATTCCTCCTGAGCCGTACTTTCTATTCCCGCTTCACAGAGACGCATTGCGAGAAGAGACAAGTTGAGTAACAATAACAGTAATAGTGACGAATGAGATCCCGTTCCTTGCCCTGAGCCCGGCCCTTTACGTGGATCAGCGCTTGGACAGCACAACCACAAGGTGAGGGGTGTCTTATGTCCTTGGGAGAGGCGGGTCTCGGGGGCCCCCGGCTCTGTGTTCTCTGCAGTGTCTGCGGGCCACGGCGACCCCTGGTGGTCGGTGGCGGGATACAGCGGCTGGACCTCTCACACCCCACCCTCATCTCCTCCCGGTGCTGTGTCCTCCACTTCCCTCTCCTGATGGGTTCCCTCTCAGGTGAAACCTCTGATCATGCATGCACCGCCAAGCCCCCAGGTTGGTGGGATGATAATGAGCAGGACTGACTGAGAAGAGTGGTCAGAGTTTCAAGGGCTCCAACTCCTGTCCCTACACCAGCCTCTTTGGAATGTTTTATTTATTTTTATTTTTTAAATTAAATTTAATTTTTTAAAATTAACATATAGTGTATTGTTTGTTTCAGGGGTACAGGTCTGTGGCTCATCAGTCTTAAACAATACACAGCGCTCACCATACATAGCACATACCCTCCCCAATGTCCATCACCCAGTCACCCCATCCCTCCCACCCGCTCCACTCCAGCAACCCTCAGTTTGTTTCCTGAGATTATCTCTTATGGTTTGTCTCCTTCTCTGATTTTTGTCTTGTTTCATTTTTTCCTCTCTTCCCCTATGATCCTCTGCCTTGTTTCTCAAATTCCATATATCAATGAGATCATATGATTCATGTCTTTCTCTGATTGACTTATTTCGCTTAGCATAATACCCTCTAGTTCCATCCACGTCGTTGCAAATGGCAAGATTTCATTTTTGATGGCTGCATAATATTCCAGTGTGTGTGTGTGTGTGTGTGTGTGTGTGTGTGTGTGT